GGCCGGACCGAGCCTCGGCCCGTTGAATGGCCACCTCTACATTATTGATGTTGTTTAGGGTGTGTTCGTGGATACATAACTAAATCCACTTTGAAGTCGTACTCAAAATTAAAGTCAATTTTAATTCAACCTCACTACCATCACTGCAAAAAAATTGTTATATTCAAATGAAAAATTCTATGGTAATATATTCCAATAGAAATTTCAACAGATATTCCAATGGTATAGCTTCCGTTGGAATTATTCCAACGTGAAATTCCAGCCGAAATATTCCGTTGCAATGTGTCTTTCATTGGAATTTTAGATGGAATTTGATAATTCTAATCGCTATATTACCGACTTATTACCGTAGGAATTTCCGTTGGAATATTCATTTTCTGTTAGAATTTTTATTTTCACCCCCGTTGGAAAATCGACCGCTGGAATCGTCAAAATCTAACGGAGATTCAATGGAAAATCCATTCCAACGAAATATTTTTGTTGGAATTTCCGTTGGAATTGATTGCAAAATACAAATGAAAATAATAGTATTAAAATATCCGTTGGAATTGTCGTTGGAATAATTCTATTGAAATATATATCCATTTGAATTTCATCATTTTCTTGTAGTGCATCAATATTATAGTTATATTAAATAATATCAATTAACCATTTTTACATATCACATCAACTTTAATTCACTATTCATATCACATCAACTTTAATTCACTATTCATTACTAACATAATTTTAATTAACCATAACTTCATATTATCTCTCTCTTACCTTTATAAAAAATTAACATTAATTATTTTATTTTAATATTATTTTAATATAAAATTAAAATTTCACTAACAATAAATTATAGCGCATTTTCAAAATTAACACTGTTAACAATAAATAAAAAAAATAAAGAACTCGTTTTGAGCGGATATATTTGTATACAAGCGCGCCCTTAGGGGTTGAATATGGGGTACATAATGATTTGAACCGCTTTAAGAATCAAATAGCAATAACTTGAAACCAAATTGTCATAGTTGATCGTTTGACTTTTTTTTTTTTCTTTAATCTGATTGAACCAAGAAATAAGTGGTACGGTTCTGTCGATTTTAGAAATGTTCATTTTGATGATCGAATCGAACCATCTCGTATTCTACTGAGTCGAAAATTGAAATGAAGAACCAAATTATAACTTTAATGTTTTCTGCTAATAGATTTTGTGTCAACTTTAATTCTATATAATTTGAATTTTTTTATCTACCAAATAACATATAGACAGAACAATTAAATTTTACTTAAATTCTATTCTTAATAATGCTTGATATATAATTAATATTATTAAAAATTTATTTATATTGTATATATTTATTTTTTTTTTTGGTAATAATCCATCTTATAAATAAAATGGTATGGAATATTAGAACAACATTTTTTTTAAAATGAATTTTATATTGTATTTTATTTAGATTTCAAATTTTCATTATTAGTTGCATAAATTACCCTTAACTAAAATTTTGAGTTTTATTTTATTTTTTTTCAAATGTTTTTAAATTTGATTTCAAATGAAAAACTTTAATGCCTTACTATTTATCAATTTTATATATATATTTTTTAAAAGCATATCAAATTTAAGTCTAACCAATAATTAATCTTTGGAAAAGGAATTGAAAAATAAATGCAAATCTCTGTATAGCTCCGAATCAAATTTATCAGATCTTAAAACGTTTCGATACTCCCAAATTTCGAAATATAGCAAAAACAAAAAATCTCTGAACAGAATCATCTTAAATTTTGATACGGTTTCCAGAGATGCATGGAATTATTGTGTAAATTTTGGTACGATTTCAAAGATTGAACTACAACAATTACCTTCAATTTAGATACTAAATTTATAAATTTTCAAACCGTTAGACAACTGATTAATTCCCATCACTATTGTTGTTATTTTGGCTTGTCTCCTCAAAGGATAAAAATAAAATAATTAAAAGAAGTAAAAGGACAAAAAAAAAAAGAGAAAAAAAAACAATAAGTTTTGTATACATCTATGAACATTAAAGCTACATTTAAAATATTAAAAAAAAAAAGACAAAAACTGCTTCTGCTACAATAGCTCCAAAAAATTACAACCTAAAAGAAAAATATAGGCTGCAGGAGATTAAAGATCTGAGATTGTTTGGGGGGTTATAAGCACGAGAGTTCATTCATGTGCAATCAAATGTCTTGTCTGTCTGTAAACTCTTTTTTAATTTTTTTTTTTTCTCTTTTATAATTTCCTACTAAATTTAATCAACTGGACTCCCACTTTCTACTACACTATAGCTACTATCTATGGATCACTGTATTTATTTTCTTTACCAACTTTTGTCAAACTGAAGCTGCAAATGGGGACCAAATGAAGTACCTTTGCATGTCATAGCTTTAGTAGTACACTACTACACTCTCTATATATGGGCATCTTTGTAACAAGTAAAAGTGTGAATCTAAGATATAATAATGTTCATGATCATATTAAAAGGGTTAGTTGCTAAATAAACCTTAATTTTTTTGGGTTTGACAATTTTATCACAATCTTTGGGTAATTGCAATATAATCTCGACCTCAACTTAATTATTGCAAATTTGGGTGCAAAGTGATTGATTTTAGGGATTTGTGGATCGATTTTGTGCTCAAGTTTTCCATTGACACGAGTTTTTATGTCATCCACGTAGCAAGTTGACAATTTCCACGTATTTAATGTATATTCACGCACATAGAAGAAAATTCCACGTCAATATAAGCTACCGGTGATGAGTCTCCTCCTAG